AACTACAAAACAGCTATAGAGCAACAAAACTAAAAGCATTCAGAATAGCTTGTGTGTTGTATCTGTAAGCCGTATATAAAAGAGTTGGCTTTGCTTTTTTCTTCTCCAAGGAAAGAGAAAAGTGACCCCAATAAAGTGCCTTAAACCTGCATTATTTGTAATTGCCAGCAGGGGGCAACAACTCTGGTTGCAAGGAGACTGATTGTATGCAAGTCTGTGGGAAAATTACTCTATTTCTCCCTTACTTTATGACCTCGGTAAACACTTCTTAATGGGTTTATAATCTCAGTCATTAGCTTCAGGTCTTTTTCAGATCATTTTGGCCCCAAATAGAGAAAAGAAAGGAGTATAAAATAAGGTGGACCTTCTTATCTGAGTAAATCACTTCCAGTTAAGCGTTTTTTGTGCTAGATTGTCAGTCAGATCTGCCCCTCACTTGCAATAGCCATGTTCAAAGCAACAAGATGCTGACGACATCATATTTTAATGACATTCATATTTTAATGACATTCATATTTTGAGATTGTTGTAGTATTTTCAAGTGTCGTTAATGGCGTGGATTTAAAATAGCAAGACAGGGAACACTGGCCACCCATTGCTGTTTACCTTAAAACATGTACCTCCTATGTACTCTTATATATGAAAATATTTATTTCCATATGCCATTACATAAGTCACAAAAACACAGAGCTTGTTGCAATGCAGCAGTGTGACCCCATAACCTCCACAGGGTCTTACACACTCATGATATGCACTATTTCAGGGCCCACTTTACCAGCTATGCAGCCTCCTACACACTCACACTTCAGTGCATGAAAAGACACGTGCAGAGACTCATGTTGCCATGATACTGTGTGATACTGTTCGTCAGCGCCAGAGCCAAAATTATCTGTAAATATACAAAATTAACATTTTGTTGACAAGCTGAAAAAACAAAAATATGACTGTATTGAAACGATGAGCTACATAAATTTAACATGAATTTAACTTTTACCAAAAATGCCATTTAGTCTTGAAAAGAAAAGATGTGAGAGAACACATCTGAAGTCTGTGCTCGCTCATCAAATATCTAAGCGAGGCATTTTTGAACACACAGGCACCAAGCTCTAAGAGCCGACAGATTTTTATATGAAATCAGAACCAACACTGATGAAAATGAGGATTAAAGAGGCATTGTGTAACTCTATTTGAGCCAGCAGCAGAAATGCCTGAAATGGTTAAAGCATCTATCTTTGTGGCTTTACCTACTGAATTTAACCTCAAAGTTAAAGTTAAAATCTTCCTTCGAGATTCAGTATAACTAAATAATCTAAATGCGTTGACATTAAAAGGCAGAAAATTATATCAACATGACAAGAATTCTATATATGAAGTTAATTTACAGTGACTGACCAGGACAATCATGCAGGGAATTGCAGGCTAAGAAGAAAGTTATGCACATCTGCATATATTAAGGCAACTTTTCACACTTGAGCACAGCAGATGATATAGATACATAAATATGGCCAATTGCTCATCAAATAACCTTTTCACTTATGTCCCAGGGACAATGTTTTTAACTATTAGCTGATGAGAGTGTCTATATTTGTCAAGATGCCATAAATTATTATTTTGACTCTCCAGTTTCCTCCCTGAACTTTTTTGTGGAAACTAGCTCTGATGTCTGCAATAACATATGCTTGCTGTTTAAAATAAAAGACACACTTACAAATAGTGTGGACGTATCTGTATATTTTAAAAGCTTTGCAGTAAAATCTTCTGGCTTCATGAGCACTGAGATGTGACAAAAAACAGCAGGAAAAGAAGTTGAAATAAGTCAAAAGTGAAAAAGAGCAGGTAGGTTTTGCACTATGGTGAGATGACACAGAGCAACTGAGAAACTCCCACAGCCAGATTCTGAGTTTTTGTCACGGATGGCTTCAGTTCAGAATCTTCCTGTTAAATTTTCATACAGCGAGTGCAGCGAACACAGACTGTAATCGGTAGCTAAGTGCTGCCTTTTAGTAGCATTTCTGCGGGTGCAGAGTTCTCCAGTGAATTTCTTTTCTGCATTTATAATTCAAGCAACATGAAGCACGTTGCAAGTCTTTGAGGATTAAGTTTTTAAAAAAAAGACACATAAAAAAACTAAGACCCATTTAAATTATAAAATTATGATCAACTGAAGTTTTTGGCAGTTTTAAAAATGTCTGTTAAAACAGGTTTTTATTAGAATTTACAATGACAAGCAGGAACATCAAACCCACTCTCTGATATTGTTTAGTTCCCTCTTATCGCTACAAAACACTCGTTCCCG